TTACTGGCCAGATGCTGCTCTCCAAAGCTGCCAGGCTTGCATATCGGGAATCAGATCGTGTTGGCCGATATGACTCGTTAATAATCAGCCCCAAAAAAACTGGCCCAAAAAAAATCTTTATCAGTGCACCCCTACTGCTTAGGATTTAAACGATCCTAGGTAAATTTAAAATAGTCCGAGTCATGAGTCTTACCCTTTTTGTTCATTAAAAAGCCGAAAAACTGCACAGCATTCTGACTGCAAGCCTCTTACTTTGAGGGCCTTCATAAGACAATCGTGGAGAGTCGTTCCATTTCGCACATTCACCTGTGAATTAAAGAAAATGTTATACAGGAAACCCTCGCTATTCGCGGGTTTGGCATTCGCTGTTTCAAATATTCGTGAATGCCGAACCCACACTTTAAATACACTTTATATGCTTACAGGAGCTCCTTGGATACTATGTGCTTGCTGCCGTCAGGCTCCTGCCAGAGCCACCGCACCCGTCCCCCCACCACTCCCAGCCACCGGGGGCACTGCGTTCATGAACGCAGTGCCTTATTTGTGGATTTCACCATTCGCAGGGGATATGAGAATGTATCCCCCCAAGAATAGTGAGGGTCACCTGTAGTTTAAAACGGTGAAGAATGTCAAAGGGTTACAAATTCAGATCCTCATGTTCTGCATAAAGAGACACACCACATACCATATACCACTACCATAAAGGATTACTTTATTAATTCAGTGACCCAAAGATTAATAGAATTGTGGCTGCCCAGTGGTAACTCATGTTCTTCTCTAAGTTTGCCGTGGGAAGGAAAAGGGGAAAAAATGCACACATTTCGGAAAAGTCAAGAAGAGTTAAGATACATACTTATTATGATATTAAATTCTTTCCCCTTCCCTAAGGTGGAACTGGCCAGTAGGAATTATCTGCATGCAACTTGAGCTGAGTTCCCTGTGTGTTAGATGCAGCTGAACCAGGGGTGGGCAAAATGCGACCCGCGGGCCAGATGCGGCCCACCAGGCCATTTCATCTGGCCTGCAGAGCCCATAAAAAATTAGAAAATTAATATTAATCTGCCCCTGGCTGCCTGTCATGCAGTCCTTGATGGCTTGTCAAAACTCAGTAAGCAGCCCTCCACCCAAAATAATTGCCTGCCCCTGGGCTGAACAAGGAGTGGTTTCTGTGGCAGGGCCCCTTTGGTGCCTGCCACTTTAAGAGCAGCAAACAGGTGCCTGATGAAGGTAGCCATTCTGGCCCAGGGATATAAACTGGGCTGCAGTTTGCTGCAGGAAGGAAGGAGACAACCAGTGCCTCCTCACCTGGGGCGGGGGGGCACATACCCCCCCATGGCCAATCACGCTGACCAGGGAGGGTCCCCTCGCAGCCGATCCCACTCCCACTCCCCAGCTGGCGCTCACAGGGTGGGCACCGGCACCCCTGCCTGCCCCCCCACCCACTACCTAAGCAGCAAGCACAGCTTGTCAGGGTGTGCACTGGCGCTCTCAGGGGGTGCATGTGCACCCCTGTGCACCCCCTATGTGTTGCCATTGGCAGGGGCTATGGGGAGGAGGTGACTCCTTGTCCTGGGTAAGATGTAAAACTGCACCCGTTAGGGAAGGATGGTCTGGTGGGGCTCCTAGTGGAATGGGAGCTGCCAGGAAATGCCAGGCCAGTTACCTCCCAGGTGAAAGGCAGGTCGGGGCACCTTAATAACCCCAGCCCCACATCCCTGGTGGCATTCTAGCGAGCAGGGGGAGCCCAGGGCTCAGGCTGGAGGAGGGACCCTGTGTGAGGGTGAGTGAGGAGGCCCAGTGGGGGTATAGTGGCCCAGTGAGGGGCAAGGAGCAAAATAGGCCTACAGTCGTACAATCGCTCAGTCAATGATCAGGTTAGGCTAGCGGGAGATATCCAAAAGACTGCGCCAGGGCTGACCGAGGCAAGGAGAGCTAAGCCTGAAGCCAGGTGAGGCCGGGCAGCATGAGTGTGGCCCCTGAGAGAGGGCAGTATGAAAGAGGCTGGATGAGAGCCAGCGGAGTGAGCAGGACCCCGGTGAGAGAGAGGTAGTGTGCGAGCGGCCCTCCGGGGCTGTGGAAAGAGCTATAACTGTGTGCCCAGTTTGCTCTGGCCATAGGCCAGAGAAGTAATACCAGAGAAACATCTGCAAAGCATGGGACCCGTGGAGGGCAGGTCGGAGCAGGTATTAGGCCCTTGTCAGCAGGGTGAGTAATGGGTAGCCTCCCGCCTTTGTAACAACTCTCATTTTTCCATCAAGGTGTGGCAGGTGAGTGAAGCAGTTAGTTACCCCAGGAGCAGTGCAGCTGGCAAAGACCAGATGAGGAGGCCACCCTGTTACAGTTTCATTGAAGCAGTCTAACAGACTCCCTTTCTTTGACTCCTATCTTCTCAAAAGAAATAGCTCAAACCTTAAATCTATTTCCTTTGCTTTAACTGTCTTCTGTATATTGTGTCAGCAGCCAACTGCAGGGTATTCTTGCCTGTGCAATTACAGCAGTGAATTGTGAGATAAGGTAGCTTAAGACAGTGATCGTGGTCCACGGGCCAGATGCCCAGAGATTGGAAACTAGCTAATGTGGTCCGTATCTATAAGAACAGGAGAAAGAAGGACCCAGGAAACTATAGGCCCATAAGGGTCTTCTGTATATTGTGTCAGCAGCCAACTGCAGGGTATTCTTGCCTGTGCAATTACAGCAGTGAATTGTGAGATAAGGTAGCTTAAGACAGTGATCGTGGTCCACGGGCCAGATGCCCAGAGATTGGAAACTAGCTAATGTGGTCCGTATCTATAAGAACAGGAGAAAGAAGGACCCAGGAAACTATAGGCCCATAAGGGTCACATCGGTCTTGGGGAAAATCCTTGAAAAAATCATTAAGGAGCACATCTGAGGGGCCAGCAGGGGAGATCATGCCCAGGGGAAATCAACATGGGTTCATCAAAAGCAGGTCCTGCCAGACCAACCTGATGGCCTTTTGTGACCAGGTAACTAAATCCCTGGATGATGGCGTCACCGTGGACGTAGTCTTTCTGGACTTTAAGAAGGCCTTTGACACCATCTCTCACCCCATTTTCATCAATAAACCGAGCGACTGTGGCAGTGATGCCTACACAGTTGGATGGGTCAAAAATTGGCTGATGGGGCACACCCAAAGAGTGGTGGTGGACGGGTCGTACTCGACCTGGCGGGATGTGAACAGTGGGGTCCCCCAGGGCTCGGTCCTGGGGCCTACACTGTTCAACATCTTCATCAACGACTTGGACGAGGGGGTGGAAAACATGTTGTCCAAGTTTGCCGATGACGGTAGGCACGTTTGAAGGAAAAGAGAGGCTGCAATTAGACTTGGACAGACTACAGAAGTGGGCAGATGGTAATGGGATGGGGTTCAATGTAGATAAATGCAGGGTGCTGCACCTTGGGGGAAGGAATCCACAGCATACATACAAGCTGGGGAGCTCCCTGCTTGTGAGCACAGAGGTGGAAAGGGATCTTGGAGTCATTACTGACTCAAAGATGAGCATGAGCCGCCAATGCCAGACCGCAGCCAGAGAAGCCAACCATACCTGCATCCAAAGATGCATCTCAAGCCGGTCCAGAGAGGTGTTACTCCTCCTCTACGTGACACTGGTCCGGCCTCAACTGGAGTACTGCGTTCAGTTCTGGGCATCGCACTTTAAGAAGGATGTGGCCTGCCTTGAGAGGGTTCAGAGGAGGGCCACCAACTTGGTTGGAGGGCAAAAGGGCAGGCCCTATGAGGAGAGGTTGAGGGACTTGAACCTGTTCAGCCTCAGCAAGTGGAGGCTGAGGGGGGATTCGGTGGCTGCCTACAAACTCGTTAGGGGAGATCAGCACCAAATAGGAAGAGCCCTATTCTCCCCAGCAGCACCTGGGGTGACGAGGAACAATGGCCAGAAGCTGCTAGAGAGTAGGTTCAGGTTAGAGATTAGGAGGCACTATTTCACAGTCAGGGTAGCTAGGATCTGGAACCAACTTCCTAGGGCAGTGGTCCTCGCTCCTACCTTGGGTAAATTCAAAAAGAGGTTGGATGAACACCTGTCTAGGGTCATGTGATTCCAGCGTGTGCTCCAACCAGTGACCGGGGGGGGGTTAGACTAGATGATCTATTCAGGTCCCTTCTGACCCCTAACTACTATGAAGATGTAAGTGGGAAGTATGGAGTTAGATTGGGGTGGACAAAATACGGTCTGCAGGCCAGATCCAGCCTGCCAGCTGACTGGATCCAGCCTGCGGGCAAGCACTCACCAACTGATTGTATCCAGCCTCACCAGTGGCTGCCCCTGCTGTGCTACGCATGGGGTCAAGTCCCACCCACGATCATCTGGGGCAGCACGTGCTATGTTCCCAGCCTCCCCTGCCAGGGTCACCAACCCCAGCTAGTAGGCACAGCTTTAGGGCAGGGCTGTTGCTGCCACTACCGCAGCTGCCCAGGGAACTGCTGGGGGCTCCCTCAGCCTCCAGCAACTCCTCCTCCTGTCCCTGCCTCAGTGTTCTGGGCAGCAGGTGAGGGGGGGAAGCTGCAGCACTGACAGGAGTGGGGTGGGCTTTGCCTGCAGCTCACTTCGGTTCTGCTCATGCATGGCTGGGCAAGGGAGTGTGTGGGTGGAGTGGGGGCATGAAGGAGCTTGGCTGCTGACAAAGCCCCACCAGGCAGGCATGGGACAGGCAGGTGGGGTGTGAGCAGCAGCAAAAGCCAGCATGCATTTGGTGTGGCCCCACTGGGCAGGCACATGGGATGGACACAGCAGCAGGAGCCAGTGTAGGCTCAGCTGCAGCTCCACCGGGCAGGTATGGGACAAACCAAGAGAGCCAGCAGCACCAGGCTCACCTCCCTGCCCCTCTCCCCTGTCCTAGGGGCTTCTCTTGCTGCCTGTCTGCAGAAGCTGCTGTCCTGACCTTTGCAGTGTGCTGCAAACCAAGCTGGCAACACTGATCCCCATCCCCGTCCCTACAGAAGGGCTGGGCTCAGCCATGTCAAAGAGCAGGCGGGGAGGAAGCCCCACATGTGCACACCCTACCTACCTACACCCTACACATGCACCCCCCATCATAACCACACACACCCCCAGAGTCCCTCACACTCCAGCCACACACCCCACCATACCCACACACACCCCCAAGCACCTCATCACTCTACCATACCCACACACATCCAACACTGTCCCATATACCCCAGCCATACATCCCGCACCCCTCCACACTCACATCAACCATGCACTCCCCCAACCCTCCATACAATATACAAGCAACCCTCCCCTCACTGCCACCTCCTAAAAGGCATACTTCCTGGGCAAGGGGAGAGACTTCCAGTAGCAAAGGCCAGGGGGTGGGACTTCCAGTCATAAGATGGTGACCAGGGGGTGGGGTACCTGTCAAGGGGCGGGGCTACCCTTGTGGCCCTTGACACCTCACCAAAACTTAAGTGGCCCTCCAACTGAAATAACTGCGCACCCCTGAGTTACATAGTATTGCATGCATAAGAGAAAAGAAGTCATGAGATTTAGCAGATATGAAGTTCCTTCTGGGAAGGCAGGTCATATGTCTGACTTTAGGACAGGTCTACAAAGCTCTTATCCAATACAGGTTAAAGGCAGAGTCAGACTGTAAGATATGGACATATCTGGTCACTGATCTGCAAATGCATTTGGTTAATGTCTTTATAAGACACAACACCCCATCAGGCAATCTTAACACTGTATTAACAATGCTTTTTGGTCACTGCATTTCTAATTTTATCAGGAAAAAATGCTATTTGTGGGAGTTAATTATGTAACTTATGCCTAGGGAAAGGAAATTGTACAGCTGCCAAGTACTACTGTACTAATCATGTACTTTGTTACAGAGGAATGAAGATTAGGGTCATGCTAACTCTACCAACAAGGTTGATAAAAGAAGTCACAGGTAAGAGCCCTGGACAGAGCAACAGTTGCCACAGCACTTTAAATTGCTGCTGTGAACAGGCTGGAGTACTAGACAGGCTTTCAGGGGCATGCTTTCCAGCCAGAGGACAATAACTGAACTGCTCAGCCCTGCAACTCTTTACCTCCTCCGCTCATGGGAGAGGCACCTGTCAGTAAACCCATGCAATGACAGCCTATCACCACCCCTACAGGGGCACAAGCATATACAGATCCCCAGGGCTCAATGACTGCAAACACAGCTGCCTGCCTTCCTGACCCCCAACTCATACTCCACCAGCACTTTCCCCTATACTCCCCTTCTCGGGGCTGGGGGGAGGGGGGGGGTGTACATGACACAGAGCACTGTGGGAGCCTGGGCAACAGAGACCCTCCCATAGCATTATGGTGCAATGTACATGTGACATGTAGCACTATAAAATGTAGTGCTACAGAGAAGTTCCTGCCTAGCTCAAATGCCCCCAAATTTGGATTAACAACATTACATTTATCTTCATGAGGCACACCAAATTTCAAAGTAAACAATCAACCTGTGGGTATTCGGGCACTTGGAAGAGATGACTTTTAAAGAGAAAAGGGTTTTCAAGGAGGTGTGAAATAGCACACCATGATACTCCTCCTAGCTACATGAAAATGCCCCATTGCTTTTATCAGAGCCAGAAACAATTGCTGTGCCCAAATTCTTCATACACATCTATCTACCCCAATGTCAACAAACAAAAGCTTGTCAAATGCATCAAGCATATCTGTTCCCAAATCTTCATACCTCTCAGTACTTGGTGGGTATGTGCACAAAGGGGCAAGAGTTTCCCAAATACTGGATGAAAGAGACATCATAGGAGTGATAAATGCCCAGAAGCTGCAGTATATGCATGAGGAAAGCTGGAGGAGATCACACCCACTGCACACATGGTAAAACTTCTCCCCCCATCCCAGTTACCACATGGGGTGTAGGTAGAGTGGTTCAAAGACCCTCAAATCCCATTTCCACAGAAACAGAAGAAACAGGCTCAGATGCACCCAGAGGTACCACCCACCACCTTCATCCTATCATTTATTCTAACACTTAGCCCCCTTTCCAGCATCCTTCACTCAGTCACAAGCCTCCTCCCTTTTTCATCTCCATTTATAATTTTATTTTGCTTTTAAAATGGTTTGGGATCTTTCTGTGTTTTCTGATATACTGAGATTATAAAAGAATACAGCCCCTTTGATATAGGCAGATTATAAATAGCAGGATGCTTTATTCTCCATTATCAGCCTACCAAATGACTACTCAGGATCAGTTTAAAAAACAAAACAAAGGCTGGTTGTAAGTCTGATTCAATAGTGACTGCATGTCCTTGAACCACCCATCTCCTGTGAAAACTGGCAGACTAAAACAGTGCTTTTCAACCTTTTTCAATTCAAGAAACCCCTCAAAGTGCCAGCTCTTAACTTTTGCTCTTTTTTTACTATGGAGAAATAGGGCCATTATTTTGTTACAAAGAACTCATAACAGATTGGAATGTTTTTGACATTGTTAGATGTTCAAACACCTACATGTGATTCACAAGATAAACCTGGAGACTTCAGATAGGAATCCACAGTGATAATATTGTGCCACGCCCTTAAAATGATCTTGGGGTACCCCAAGTGAGAATAACCAGAGTAGATGTTCTTTTGACTACTCCCCCAACCTCCCCATCAACACCCTATACTGAGCACCATACTATTTACTGGGTATCATTTTCAATTTTGCTTCCCCAACAGGTTGCAAATGCCATGGACCATATGGAGTTTTCAGCAATTGAAACATACACAAATGTTTTAAAGTGTCTCCCTATCTTCTGAAAACTGAATAGAACCAAAGAAGCTGCAGTGGCAGAGTACAATCATCACTTCCCCAGAAAGGCTGCATATTCTGCTCCTCAAAGGACACAGAACTTATGTAGACAGTCTTTAAACCTACCAACCTGGGCCATAAGCAAAAAGAACTTTTAAATTGTGGTATTTGAGTAGAAAGGCTGAATTAAAAATGTCGTCTTTATGTGCGAATCACATAAATCAAAAATAGCAGATGACTGTTGGACAGTTCAGCCCCTACACTACATGAGCAGTCAGAGGCTCAGAAATTATGCCTCTGACCGTTAAGCTCAATATGCCTCTTGAGCTTGGCCCAAAGGGAAGGTAAGAGGAAGACTGAATGATATATAGACTTTATAAGCAGTATTCTAAATTTAGCAAGTGTCATTTTATTCTTTTGTTTTGAGATGACTTAATCAGGTGTAGAAATTGTCTGATGAGTGCAACAACAATCCACAGTCACATTTGGATAGCGTGTGGGGTTTCCTCCACCCCTCCCCTTTAAAAAAAATCTCCAAAGATTCACTAGATACTCCTTAATTATAAATAAAAGACAGTTCTATATTTAAGTAAATCAAACATTTAGACCCAAAACAGGTTTGGGGCTGTATGTTCCATTTGGTGGCTCTCAGATTAAAAAACTCAACATTTAGGTTGCTATTCTCCTAGCAATGTAGAAGCAAAAAAATATTCTCAGAGAAAATTTGAAGCAACTTAATACATTAAAAGGACTGTTGAGGGTGGGTGGGGTTGAGCTATATTACAACTCATTTGTAAGGACTGGCATAGAAGTGCAGTATGCAACAATAGGTTTACTAAATCGTCACATAGTTCGTTCATGGCATGTTAAGCAACTCTGTCAGACCAGAATATTTCATCATGCCTACATCAGCAAGTGCATGTGCAAGGAACTTCTGACCCACTTAATTATTTATTTTCTTTAAATGTACTATTTTTCCTGTTGAACAGGGTTTGTTTTTTATTTGACCTACATAAGAAGACCACTCACTGGTAGCACTGTAGACTAGCAGTGTTCAAGGCTTTGACCCTCCAGACCAAATGGATGGTGCTTTCTGGCCCTGGCACACAGGGATCAGGCCCTGCACCCCATAATGTGCCCAACCTAATGCGCAGGTTCACAACTTGTGGGGCTCCCCATGACCCATAGCAAGCCCTGCAAGGTGGATAATAGTACTGGTGGCTAGATCTGGCCCCTAGGCCAGGGATTCAACACTTCTATTGTAATTAGCATTACCTTGAAGGAAGGAAAGGTGCAAATTAGGATTTCAAGCAGCCTTGTTAAAAGTTTTGACAATATTTTTTCTTATAGCTTCCAAGGAAAGACCCTGAGGAATTCAAGGTTAGCCCCTTATCAGTGTATTACATTGCAGACATCAATACAGATCAAACCTACATTAAAATCACACTATATTCTAGATTTCACAGAGGAATGGATACCTGCATGAATGAAGCGTGCCCCCAGAGGCTGGGGGGGCATGGCAACTGCCCACAGGTGGCGGCAGCAGCAGTGGGGGGAGCTGGCGAGTGCCAACTGGCAGTCAGCGACCACCTGCAGACACCACCAGCAGTGTTAGTGGCAAGAGGGGGGAGGCGAGGTGGCGAGCAGCAACCTCCCACAGGTGCTGCAGGCAGTCAGGGGCGCTTCTTTCAGGGGGTGCATCGTCAGTCTCAGGAGATGCACATGCACCGTCTACGCATCACCAATAGATACCCGTATTGCAGGTTAGGTTAGCCTATTCCTGAAATGTCTTTATCCTTACATATTTGATTGTAAATGGCCCATGTTAGAACCTTTTATTTTTCAAATAGTATTACTACATTCTACATTACAGTAAAAGCTGTATTATCTGACACTTTACCATCCAGAATGCTCCATTAACTGGCATCTGTCATAGACGGCATCTGTTGTTACGATCATGGGTCTTCCAGTTTTGCCAAGTCCCACTTCCTCCTTGAGGACCACGGCCCAGGCCAAAGCAGCCTGCATGGGCCCCCCCCTCTGTCCCCCGGCACACTGATGCTAGGGAGTGAAAGCCCTGGTGCACCGGCAAAGATGCCTCCAACCTACTGGAGATAAACTCTCAGATAACTGGCATATTTGATTAACCAGCACCCCCCCATTCCCCATGGATGCCAGATAGTAGTACAGTAAAAGCTCTGTTATTTTAAAAATAGTATTACTACAGCCTTTAGCATTAAACAGAGGGTGACTTATCTAGGCATGGAAAAACTTTTCAGTGTTATTTAGCATTTCTATTGCTAAATAAGTCAAACTTACCACCGTGCGTTGCTTGTTAGGCAAAAAAACCCGAATAGTACTGCTAGTCTTGGAGGTGTCTGAGAGTTTGCCATCATCAGACGCTCGGCGCTGATAACCAAACTGCTGAACAATAGTAGGCGAAATACAGTTCGATCCATCAAAGACAGAATCCTTGAATCCAAAACCATTACTGATGGTCTTCCAAGCTCCCTGAATATGCTCCATTGATACCGTCTAAGCAGTAACAAAATCTGCAATAAAACACAGGAAAAAAGTTACATCTTCAGTGTCAGTTTTTTAAACAATGGGTATGGACAACAGGGATGAGAATGTTAAATAATTAATTGTTTAACCCATGGGTAGGCAACGTTTTTGGCCGGAGTGCAGAAAAAACCTCAACATCTAGCTTGTAAGGTGCTGGAATGCCAGAGAAACAGAACTGGGGCAGGGGGTACATGGCAGAACACACTACATATTAATATCGTTAATAATCATAAATAGTTTTAGTAAATACCAGGTTTTCTAAAAATTGTAAACCTGGTGACAATAAATAAAACTTAATATACTACACGTGCGCACAAAACTAGACACACGCATGCAGACACAGGGCTGGGCTGCTGGGCCGCAGGACAAAATCAAACCCAACAATGCCCTGGGCCTGTCGCAGCCCCTGTGCTTCCTTAGGAAGCTAGCGCTCAGGCTGCAACGCGGCTCACTCTGAGGCCCTGGCCCAGAGCCCACCCAGTCAGTTAGTTGCAGGGGCTGGGCTCAGAACAGGGTGGGCAGTGGTGGTCTGGGCAGCACTGGAAGTGTGGCTATGCGGGGGTGGAGGGAGTATCAAGGCAAATTTTGGGGTGGCCCCCTGGGGCTGCCCTGCTGACTGCCTGTGCTGGGCGCTGCATCCTGTTCCCACCCCACTACCGCCGAGCCCAGCGGGTCCTGGGAGCAGGCAGGACGCCGGGGGCAAGGGACGAAGCCGGAGACAACTAAAAGCGGGTGCTGTCCTCAGCTCGTCCTGTCAGGCGCAGCCGAATGCCGCGCAGCCCTTGGGGTGGCAGCGGGACCCGGCTCACGTGACATGGGAGGTCACGCAAGCCGTCCTGCGGGGCTGAGCAGCTCCCCTCCCCTTCTCCACCCGCCTGTCCAAAGCAAGGGACCTCAGGCCACAGAAAATGGCTTCGCAGGCCGCATGTTGGACAAGCCTGCACTATACTATAATGTCTTTATGATCCTGTGGGTATACAAATTAGCTAAAACCTGAACTCTGTCCCCACATGAAGCAGGTTTTAAAGTTGAATCAGCATTGCTATATATTTGTATTATTAGAGAATCAGGTACAAGGTAACCTAGGGGATAGTGAACATCAGTTGACAGGAATTCACTATCCGGCATAAGGTGAAAAAGACCATTAGTAGGGCAGTAGTGCTAGACTTCCAGAAGGCCAACTTCAATGAGCTCAGGAGATTAGTTAGGGTGAGACTGAAAGGTAATCACTTCTGTGAGTTGGGAGTCCAAGAAGGGTGGGAGTTCCTCAAGGGACTGATCCTACAGGCGCAGGGGGGTACCAACCCAGTATATACAAAGGGAGGCAAGAGAACCAAAAAACCTTCTTAGCTGAGCAGGGAAATCCAGGAGAGCCTACAGAGGAAAAAAAAAGAGGACAACAGGCTGTGGAAGGAGGGGGCAGCCACCAAGGAAGAGTATACCTGCTTGGCTCAAACTTGCATGGAAGCAGTGAGGAAGGCCAAAGCAGTTACAGAACTCAAGTTGGCAACGAAGATTAAAGATAATGAAAAGTTCTTCTTTAAGTACATAGGGAGCAGGAAGAAAGCGCAGGGTAACATAGGGCCGCTACAGAATGGACTAGGGCAACTCATAACTGATAGGATGGACAAAGCAGAGCTCTTAAATAATTTCTTTGCTTCTGTTTTCCTGGACATGGGTACAAGTACTCCCAGTGAGTCTTTAGTCTAGAGTGAGAGTAATAGCAATCCACCAATGGTTAGCACTGACCTAGTGAAAGAGCACTTGGAAGGGCTGAACGTATTTAAGTTGGCGGGCTCTGACGATCTTTACCCAAGGGTACTAAAGCAATTGACTGATGTCATAGCAAAACCACTGGTGCAACTGTTCGAGCACTCGGGACAGGTGCCAGAGGACTGAAAAAGTGCCAATGTGGTCCCTATTTTCAAGCAGGGGAGGAAGGAGGACCCAGGTAATTATAGGCCAGTTATCCTCACCTCTATTCTTGGCAACACCTTGGGATGGGGGGGCAGGAGGGGGGGGGTGGAAATCAAAGGAACACATTTGCAGGGGGCCAGCGAGCCACAGTATGGTAAGGGGCAACCAGCACGGGTTTATAGCAGGCCAATCTTGCCTGACTAACCTGGTCTCTGTTTATGACAAGGTCACAAAGTGCTTAGATGCAGGAGTAGAAGTAGATATTATTTACCTGGATTTTAAAAAGCCTTTTGACACAGTGTTGCACCCAATTCTTATGAGCAAACTGAGTAGCTGTAATGTGGATTTTTTTCACAGTAAGGTGGGTGAAAAGTTGGCTCACGGGACGCACCCAAAGAGTGGTGGTGTATGGGTCGGTTTCTACCTAGAGGGATGTGGGCAGTGGTGTCCCCCAAGGTTTTGTCCTTGGACCAGTACTGTTTAATATCTTCATCAGTGATTTGGATGAAGGTGTTGAAAGCACCTTGTCCAAATTTGCAGATGACACTAAACTATTGGGTACAGTTAACACACTGGAGGGCAGGGAGCAAATTCAGGCAGATCTGTACACAGACCAGTACAGACTGGTGAAGTGGGCGGATAAGAATAGGATGCAATTTAACAAGGATAAATGCAAGGTGCTGCACCTGGGGAGAAAGAATCTCCAACACCTATAGACTGGGAGGTACCATTCTGAGTACAACAGTGGAAAGAGATCTCAGTGTCCTGGTTGACGCAAAAATGAACACGAGCTGCCAATGTAACAAGCTAATAAGCAAGGCTAACTGCATTCTTTCTTGCATCAGCAGGTGCATCACGAGCAAGTCTAGGGAAGTGATAATTCCCCTCTATGTGGCATTGGTGAGGCCTCAGATCGAGTACTTCATCCAGTTTTGGGCGCCACACTTCAAGAGGGATGTGGATAACCTCGAGAGGGTCCAGGAGGGCTACTCGTATGGTTGAAGGCCTGCAGGTAAGACCCTATGAAGACAGACTGAGGGACCTGAATCTCTTCAACCTCTGCAACAGAAGGCTGAAGCGATCTTGTGGCTGTCTACAAACTCATCAGGGGGGCCAGCAGGGAATAGGGGGCACTCTGTTTACCAGGGTGCCCCTCAGGGTTACCAGAAATAATGGCCACAACTGAAGGAGAACAGATTTAGATTGGACATAAGGAAAATTCTTTACGGTGGGGGCTGCTAAAATATGGAATGGGCTTTCAAGGGAGATTGGATGGGCATCTGGCTGGGGTCACTTAACCCCAGCGCTCTTTCCTGCCCAGAGCAGGTGGTCAGACCCAATGATCTGCCAGGTCCCTTCCGACCCTAGAATCCTAGAAATCTATGAATCATGCAGATGTTAACAGTTACATGTAACAGTTTATCAGTACCCCCTGATATTTACTGGTCTTTAAAACAGAATGCCACCTAGAAACAGTACAATAACTTGTGTAATTCCTTATCAGTTGACCTGAAGCACTTTCACATGATGTCAAGTATAAACTACTTATACCATCAAATATACTTAACAGCATCACAACACATTTGCTGCTAATACATAACAAAAGTTCTCAACAATAAGAGCAAACTTGGTTACGTTTCTTCCACTGCCTGGACTGCCATTTGGACGCATCTCTGTATCTCTTTAAACCAGTATATTGCATGCACTAAAAAAAAAAAGTGCATATAATGGTATATGCTTTTCCAAGAACTGCATTTCTGGTGTAATTTCTGCCCAAAACTAAAACATGCGCTTCATTCAGAACTAAGCCAATGCAAAGTCTGAAACCAAATATTAAGTGTATAGGCAGTCCTCGGACTTACAACACAACTGCTTCCTGAAAGCCATGTCTTAAGTCTAAATGTAACTCGGAACCAACTCTCTCATAAGAAACAATGTTAACAAAGTGATAGACAGCGCTACCAATCCACATTTAACAAAAAGTAGCAACAAAAGTGAGTCTTAAAAGTAGAAATATGCAGTTATTTGTATACAGTACACATCTTATACCTGCTTTTAGATTAGATGCAGGCAAGGATGAACTATACAAACAAGCTGTGACATACATTCCAGTTTGTGGATAAACAAACTATTAATCCACAATCCAACTTTTCATCTGCAGTTTTGCAGTGGCAGTCCATTTATAATAGCTGAAATGGGAGCTTTCGTATTTCATCTCCCCTTTGAATTGAACATTCTGGTGCTCAGAGTCAAAAGGTACCACACACAAACGCCAGTCCTAAAAAAACAGTTCTACATGTAACAATTGAAAGTGTGGAACGCATGTTAGGTTCTAATTTCAATTTTTCAAAGTGAAAAAGTATCACAGAAAGAGATGCATCATAATACATCAGCTACAAAGATAATGGAAAGGTCCATTTTTTGATAGCAGGACCAACAGTGTAGTTGGGAAAAATGAGGAAGGGCAATTGATGGCTTACAGCTTGTTCAACACCTCTCCCAACTATATAGTTAGTACAACAAAAGATAACAAAAACACCCCCTTTTGTCTCGTACACTTCCTGTACCATCACGGTTACACCACAACTAACTGTACTACAATACAGTCATTTTTGATGCAGTTTTCTGAATGGTAAGTAGTGTATGCATTTTTCTTGGCCCACTCCTCCATGTATAGTTCTCTCTAAAAAAAAAAAAAAAAAACAATTTGAAAAAGCATGATTCTTCATTCTCAGTCTTTGCGTCATTGGTTCTTTGGAACCTCTTTCCTGCAATTACTGGAAATCTATTGTGTTCTGCAACCATGAGACACTGAGATGACTAGATTTCATAATTCAACAGCATCGGAACCTGGAGAAAAGAGCCAAGATTCCAGAAAAAAAAAAAGGGATGTGAGGGATTCTGTACCGCACATGATACTTTTCCTTTGATTCACTAATGAAACAATCCCTGGGCTTGGGGCCCTCAAGTAACAAGTGCCTTTCCATCTAATCTGAAGATCCTACAGCGTTTCATACGTTTTTGTTAATTGTGTTTTATTTCAATTGGGGTAACTATAAGGTTTGTTGCT